TTCCGAGTCTCTGTTCCGAGTCTCTGTTCCGAGTCTCTGTTCCGAGTCTCTGTTCCGAGTCTCTGTTCCGAGTCTCTGTTCTGAGTCTCTGTTCTGAGTCTCTGTTCCGACTCTCTGTTCTGAGTCTTTGTTCTGAGTCTCTTCTGTTGATGTTTGGGTACAGGTGTTTTATTTTCACACTGACCCTGCAGTGTTCTGAGGTTATAAACATTTTTTATTTTATTTTTTTATGTATCACCTCACTGCCAACAGTCAAATTCATCCAACCGTTAAAATAAACTGATTATTTTTGGATCCTGTCAGTCACATGAAAGGAGTCGGCAGCAGACGATGATGAGTCGATGTCTCGTTAAAGAAACCCCTCAGTGTGACTAAAGGTCTGAGGGTCTGGATTAGAGCTCGGAACCAGAACTGAATCAGATGTTCTTAGAGGTTTATCAGAATTACAGAGTAAATATTGATTTGATTTGATTYGATTGATTTCTGTGGATGGTTGTATTTTAATGTTTGACTCTTTAACATGTTTTTGGAACTGAAAAGTTTTCTGACTCCTGATCTCGGTTTGACCCACAGAGTCCTGTACGTCTACATCCACTCATCGTACAGGTAACTCCTCCCCCTACATCCACCTGCATGCTGTTCTTCCTGCTTCCTGCTCCATAAATATCCTCATCCTGTTATTAATCCCAGGTTTATGAGCTTATGATCAACATTCTGCTCCCACTTCTTCTCCTCAGTGAACCAGGTTAGACAGAAAACTGGATTCAAGTTTCAGCAGAGTGATTGTGTTATCTGATAACTTCAACACAAACATGATATTTAGTGACGTCTGTTTGCTCCACCTGTAAACCTGTGTTTTCTCCTTTAATCACTCTTCAGTTTCATTTATTCCTGTTTTCATGGCTCATCTGGGACTTTTTGTCTTAAAGTCTTTAAGGGGTTTTCTTGAGTTTTTTTTTTTAAATACCATGTTGAAATGTAACTGAGTGTATCTCAGCTTTTACAAACTCTACTTAAATAATCTTGGTATCAAAATAAAGCTAACAGTTGGGATGTTTCATCAGAAGTGTAAGACTTAAAACAGCTGCTGTTGTTTTAGAGAGATTGAGGATGGAACATAATTTATTAACTTTTTTCACGCTCACCTAAATATTTATTTCATTAGACAGTATATAACCCATTTAAAACCATAATATAACCTATTTAAAACCATAATATAACCTATTTAAAACCATAATATAACCTATTTAAAACCATAATATAACCT